ATTTGATTGAGGAGTATGAGAATTATGCTTTATTTGCGCTAGGTCAGCCAGTACATGCTCTGTGCATGAACACTAGTCACGATTCATCTACAGTTGTGGAAATTTCCTTGAGTGCTTTGTATTCCAAGTTTGGTATGGTTGAAGGTATTTACAGTTATTCTAGAATTTCAAGCAATCCTGTGTTTCTTTTCATTTGTGACATACTTCGTTTCACGTCCGAAGGTTTTGGGAGCATTTGTGGTTGGATAAGAGGTGGTGGAACATCACTTGTTGATTTCCTACGCAGAGAAGGACAACTAAATTGTCCTCCAAGTCATTTCAAAAGGAGTTCTCTAGTGAAATATTGTCTTACTGGCGGTATCAAGTGTGGACTTGCTGATGTTGGTTTCCCTGCTTTGGGAGATTCAGGAGCTGGTGTGGAGGCTTGCTTGCTGATTATGGAATTATTTAAGTAGTGGTCCATATGGTTTTCTGCTTCCAATTTCTAGTACGCTGATAGTTCCTCCACTGCTGTTGTAGTTGGTTCAATGTACCATATTGTCATAAAAGAAACTGCAAATGGCACTAAGCTGGTAACAGCTGATGCCTTTGTACTTGGCCACTACACTAATGGTCAGTTTCCAACAGTTAGCAAGGAATTTGATAAACACATCCTTTACACTATGTTTATGGGATCTAAATATAGTTTAGAAGGCACAATAGCTCATGTTAGTTTGTATGACTCCATCACACTATAGAGTACCTGGTCCTCTATGAGTTTTCACAGTGCTAACTACAGAACCAGTATGTAAATGAGACATAGGATTTTTACGTGAAAAAATCCTACTCAAGGGGACAACAACCACGACCTACACTTGTAGGCTTTCAACTTCACTAACTTGTAAAATACCTATTACAAGCCACTTTGTAATGACTCCATTATAAAGAATTCAACTCAACTAACTTGTGGTACTCTTACCACAAGCCACTTTGTAACTCCCTGGTTACAAAGACTTTCACTAACTTGTGATGCTCTCACCACAAGCCACTTTGTCATTCTACTGTTACAAAGGCTTTTGACTAATTTGTGATACTCTCACCACAAGCCACTTTGTCACTCTCTAGTAACAAAGACTTTAACTTATGACTAAACCTAGTCACAACATAAACTCTGAGAGTTTACGAATTTTACAAGAGGTTTCCTAATCCGCATAATCATTCTGCGGGCCGCAGAGTGAGGCATACTTTTTGGCCAATTTTGAGNCACATAACAAAGACTCAACAAACCTAAGGACTTAAGATATCTTCAATCTTGGATCCGGTCCTTGAGGTTGCTGCAGCTTTGTTCTTGAGAGAGTCTGTTGCTAGCACTTGAGAGAATGTTTTCTTTTTGATTTGCAAGTGCTTAACCGATCAGATCCCCTGCCAGGTTGTTATACTACAAAAGGCATTACCATGGTGATGTCAATTCACAATGGTGATGTCAAATCTTGGTTAGTACATGCTTTTTCTCAATGGAAAGTGACTGGTGCACTGTTGCGTGTACAGTTGCAGGCAGTCACTTTCTGCAGTTGCTTTCCAGCTGTGTAGTTGACTCATAATTCTGTCAGAGAACCCTAAGGGACCAGGTCCCTGTTGTGTTCCTCTTTGTACAGTTGCGGATAGTCACTTTCTGCAGTTGTGTTCCAGCTGTATAGTTGACTTGTGCTTCTGTCAGGGGAACACCAAGGGATCAGGTTCATCAAAACATAGATTAAAAGACCTTAAGCCCATCAGCTCAAGCAAAGGTGTTGGCTGGAAAGATTGAATTTATTGGTCTCCTTATGGATTACAGTAAAAAAAATGGTTGGATAGAAAAGGACAAGTACTTGTTTGATGAGATATGGTATGAGTCCATAATGGAGGTCTCATTGACAAAAGATGACAACAGTATTACATTTCTTTATTTTATGGTCTTCAACAGAAATTAAGTGAAAGCATCTTGGTGTATGGTGGTGACAATTTTGCTGAACTAATTCCTGTTGATAGCAGATCTAGACTTAAGAGGAAGCATACTTGTTCCAATTTATTCTTGTATTTTGATGGTTTTCTTGAAATAAAACTAAACTCTTCAATTCATTCAAGGGCATATAACAGAGTAACAGTACATTCACTAATAGATAAACTATCTGCAAATCATTCAACTGCATAATAACAGATTAGCAGTACATTATAGATAAACGGAGCAAGTTCAAGAAAACACCTATACTACAATTATACATTCCTTCACATTGTCGGACTAGAACCTAAATTCACTACTCCTTTCGTGATGCAATTAACATAGAATTATTTTTCTGCTGATGAGCTTCACGCCAACGTTTGTGCAGCTTCTCTTTGGACTCTACCAATTCCTTCTTTTTGGACTCCAACTTTGACAAAATGTGGGGCAAAACATGTTTGGGATCTTCCCTCAGTCTTTTTATAATAAAGAAACTTTGTTCTTTGTATTCTTTCCTAATGCAGCTGCGACTCACATCACCCACAAATTTGTCAACAATATTAATGATCTGATGTTGTTGTGTTGAGTGTATCAAGATTTTCATTAAAGCCTTTGCAGATTGCAAGGTTCTTCTCACATGGGACAAGTGAATGTCAATTTCAGACATCTCTTCTTCCATTTGCAAGTAAATAATTTTTTCCTCTGCAGTTCTCTGCCTTTCGACTTTAATTTCTTCACTACGAGTACTCGGTGAAGATACATTCTCTTCCTCCTTTTTCCTCTTCTTAATTTTCAAAACTGACGCAAACTCATCTACCAAATCTTGGTTTTCATCACCAAATATTTTCGCAATTGTATGATAAACCTCATTATTGGAAAGTTTACCCTTTTTGAGTGACTTGACAGTTTCCAAATATGCCCTAATAACACCTCTATTATCATCAAATCGTCTCTCCAATTTGTTCATAAAATCAATGCACGTGTGTAACTTCTTCATGTCAGCAGCAACAAGATTCCTCTTTCGGGATTGCCGAGGTTTCACTGAAGGTAAAGTTTCTTGCAATTCTCGAGGCAAGAACGTACGATAACCAGTTAGCAAATCTTCATGCGATTGAAACAGAGTTTCCAACTCTGACACAACAGCAGAAACATCCAATTTTTTAGTTACATAACCACTCATGACTCGGAGGTAGTGACCATAAATATTTGGATGTGATTTCACACGTTCAATGAATGAGTTTGCGGCGGCTTCAACACCAGGAAATACCATTGTTTGTTCTTTGGTTAATATGATGTTTTAAGTTTGATTGCAGTGAATGAATGGTTGCTATTTATAAATATGGAAGTGTAATTTGATTGTGAATGGGAAAATTGATAGTTCTAGTCCTAATGGAACTAGGATTAAAAATAGTAATCCTACTTTAAGTTGGAAAGTTGATATTTCTAGTCCTAATTCTATTTCACGTGGGAAGGTCTTCTGGATGTCCTCCTCAAACTTGTGAGTAGGGGTGGCAAACAGGCGGGTCGGGTTAAATATGGGCAGGTCACAGGTAATTAATATAAAAAACGAATAAATTATCCTATCTGACCCATATTTAATACGGATAAAAAATGGGTTAATATGATCACTTTTGGAAAAATTCTTAGTCTTCCAAACTTGAGGAACCCCTAATTTCAGGTTTTACAAATGTAGTAAAAGTTAAATCAATTAGTTATCCATTGGTTACCTATTTTCTAAGTGGATAATATGGTTCTTATCCATATTTGACCCGTTTTTAAAAAGTTCATTATCCAACCCATTTTTAATGGATAATATATTAATATGGGTGGATAACTGTTTTCTTTTAACCATTTTACCACCACTGCTTGTGAGACAAGGATGAATGTAAATAATTAACGTCAAGATCTATTACACTATTAATTTTTATTTGAAATTATTCTTTTGTCCATTCACTTAATTTTAATTTTGACTTGTCTTAATATATATTCAGCCGAATAATTGGATAATTTGGTGTTTTGATGATTTCTACCTTATTGACGACAACTTCTGTATTTATTATTACCTTCATTGTTGCTCATCCAGTAGATATTGATGGTATTTATGAACCTATTTCATGATCTTTACCTCACGGAAACAATATTATTTCTAGTGCTATTATTCCTATTTTTGTAGTTATAAGTTTATATTTTTACCTAATCTTGGAGGCGACATCCTTTGATAAATGGTTATACAACGGTGGAATGCTTTTAAATGGCATACCTTAATATAATGCACCTACAAAAAAATGTAAAAAATAAAGTAGGTAAATTTTAAATGTTACTGTTGCTAATTTGATCTATTATTTCTTAAGATGAAAATTGTAAATTATTTTTTTATAAAGGAGCTAGACATTTTTATACAACAAATTAGAATCCTATCACATTAGTATTTCTCTTTGTTTTAAAAATGAAGTACCAAAAATTAACCGAAACAGAAGAGAAGGAAAAGATAATTGAAACAATTTGAAAAAGCTTAATTTTGGTTATATATAATACAATTTTATTGGATCTTGGCTGATTAGCTGAACCAAAACGTTGGCGCCCATTTTTTAAGCTTTTAAATTTTATGCACTAACGATGCAATAAAGTTCCTACACTATCAATGGAATTTAACAGTAAGGTTATTAACCTTTATTAAAGATTACCAAGCAATACTAACTGAATAGAATTAATGTAATTACCTATTAAAATACATGAGTATGTAAACATTTTTACACACGACCGCGCAATACTTAAACTCTTCTACTACAACAACAACGTGGGTCTGACGAGGGTAGTCTGTATGCGGACCTTACCCCTATCTTAGAGAGGTAGAGATGCTGTTTGCGAAAGACCCTCGGCTTAAAATTGGTGAAAAAGAAAGCAATAAACAGATAATAGCAACAACATTGTAATATGCCACGGAAACAAGTGTGCATAAACAATGATCTGGGAATGCTAAAGTACAAGATTACTACCTTGCTGTTCGTATAAACACTATATGCATATGTATTTCTAGAGCTTTAAAAAGATGAACAACAAACTTCTAAGATGACATGAAAAGAAAGTCTTTACAGGATAAAGCTCACACAAAAGAAGAACTTGACAAAAGGCTACATTATATTACACTACAACTTCATTTACATTGAAAAGCTAATACTGTAGCCCGGTGCACTGAGCTGCCGCTATGTGCGGGTTCAGGAAAAGGCCGGACCACATGGGAGGCAACTTTACCCTGCATTTCTACAAGAGGCTACATAAAAAATACTAGCTGCTGACAGGCCACGTTATACAAGATCACACAGGGAGAAAGAAGAAAACAAAACGTTTTAGAGCAGAAATCGTCGAGAGATTTGCTTACTCCGACAACAAACTAACAATTTATTCCCTCTGTTACATCCTTCCAGCTACAGTTACAATCTTTTGATGAATGTATCTCATGCATACCTGCAATAAATTGCGTTGGCATTAGTTTCGATTACTTGGCACCCAATATTTTAGAGAGCTCCTTTACTAAAGGCTTCTCTTTAATGTCTTCTCCCTTCTCTAAACGCCATTTCTTCGACTTTTCTTCAGCCTGTAAATTAAGGTTAAAAACCGTTAGATAGAAACAGAAGCAAATATCGTTCCATAAGTTTATGCCCAACTTGCTTGATTTGACTTACCCAAATCCTTAAAGGACTCAGCTGCTCTTTGAATGTTTCCAATCTTGGCTGAACAATGTCCTTCCCTTTTGTCCGAATATCATCCGACTGTCCACCATCACAATCACCCACATATTACATAACCACAAACGTACAATGGATCAACTAAGCAACACATTCGATCTAACTAAAAGCAACATCACCAGAACTGTCTAAACTAAAAATCAAACAGACCAATTCCTCAACTAAGCTCGACTAGAGCAGAAATGTGGTCGTCAAAATTTCTCTACCTCAGATAGGTTACCATTTGGTTTTTACGTTCAAATATAGCTGCAAAATCTAGTCTAATGAGATCAAAAGTCACCAGGCACCAGATTTGCAAATCCAACGGCTTCCAAATAAATATTTTCATATTTGCGGATGCGACAGCATAATCACGATATGAAAGGATCAAAGCAATTTAAACAGTCAGCTTTAACCTAAGAGATCTATCAGAAAGTGATTCCTTAGAAAAGAAAAGCAGTGGATTGATGGACTGTTCCATATGTGATCATATTCCCTCAATGTGACATTGCCAGCACGTTTAGCAGAAACTAAGTTAGAAATACAGATTCACACTTCAATGAGAATGTCAATAAGGAAGTCAAAAGAGAAAGAAAGATTTACTTACATTGTGCAACTCTAGCTTGGATGCTGCCAAGCTAAACGTCAAGGCGGAACCACCAAAGACAAGAGCAGTGGCAACAGCAAATGCCTTTGCAACTACATTGAAGAGAACTTTAAACAATAAGGATCTAAAAAGAATATCACCTAGACATATCATGTTTGAGTGGTTTCCTAGCTATAACTTAATGTATGTGAATGGATGTAAATTTGCTCAGATACAGTACTTTTCAGGAATGCTTCCAGTTAAAAAAAAAAAAATTAAAACGTAGTTGGTGTGATTTAAAATGACTATGCCTCAGTCTATAGAACATAAAGCTTAGGAGTATTTCTTGGGAAAATATTTTTGAAGAGCATTTGCTTAATTTTGGGAAAACCTTGTGTGGTTTGTTTCTTAAATCCCGTAAAACATTTTCATCAACTGATATCCGAAACATTTTTATTTGATTTTTGAAAACTCAAAATCTGCTTTCTAATCCAAAAGCAGCTATTTTGTTTTTTTGAAAAAACTTTTCAGACCAGATGGACTCTTTAGCTTATTAGAGCAAACATGTAAAGATTTTGTCTTACTTTGAGACATCCCCATAGCTGCAGCTTTGAGTTTTTCAGGATTAAGAGGTGTGTATTTATCACGCCGCAAATCATTTGCGGTTGAGGCTTGTACTGAGTTTTCTGCATTTGGCAGCTGCCACCTGGAGAAGATATTACCAATGTGATTGTCAAAAGAAGATACAGGATCAAGAAGATGAAAAAGGTTTACGTAATATCCACACTAACTGTTTAAAGCTGAAGCAGTTAGAAGCACATTTTCGTATTAGTTACAATATGATATACAAACCCAACTTGTTTGGGACTGAGGGGTTGTTGTTGTTGTAGTACCAGAATGTTATACAACAGTTACTGAGACATCAGCAATAAAATACAATGTCCTCACTAAAGAGATTTTTCAGAACTTTCTTCATGAAAAAGAGAACAACTAAAAACAGAGAAGACTGGTTGATATTGAATATAACAGATTCACACAGCAAATATAACTAAAATACACACTTCTGTATAACAGAGTAGCCAAGCAGATTAATAATCTACAACACAACAAAGACTAAGTGAACATTTCATTACCACAATCAAAAGGAAAAACATTTTTTTTAGAAAGTAAGAGATTGCTCTTGTGACTCCGAATGAATGGTTTTCATAGAAATCTATACAGTACTCTTGAAAACTAAAAAGTACAAATGCAGGGGCAGTAAAATCAGCAAAAGTTTTGCTCCCATGCTTGGTCAGCCAAGAAAAGTTAAGCAAATCTATAAGTTTCAAATGTGCAACTTATACATCTACCAACCGATTACCTCCTGTTACTCCAACATTTTGAATTATTGAACGTATCAAATAACACTTCACTCACCTGAATTAGATCGATGAGAAAACCCCAAAATAAGAACCTTCCCATTGAAACACTTCACCCAGCTAAAATCAGTACCATACGACACTTTATTGTCCAAATCAATTGTACATTCTCTTAACACATTTCCAGTACCCAAATTCCAACTCATTTCACAAAATACAGTAAATTCCAAAACAATCAACCCATAAACTGTGCATATTGCACTTTGTTTTTCTTTTCTTTAGCCAGATATCATTGAAATTCCGAATAGGCTAACAAATTTTTTTGACTTAGGTGTGTCAAAGTTAAACCACAACATTCAGAATTTCAACTTTTAATCACAAATTAGCTAAAAGAAATGTAAGTAAGGGGTAAAAAAAAACACAATATCCAATCATTATTTTCATTCCAAAGAATAGGAAAAGCTTTAAAAAAAAGAAAAAATAAAATAAAACCCAGTACCATTTCAGTATTCTCAAAAATTAAAACTTTGCTAAAACCAACATCCCAAAATTCAATCTTTCCAGTCACAAATTAGCTAAAACAAGAAAAGAATATCAGAAAAGGAAGAACCTTTTAGGGCCAAAGGTAACTTGAGGTAGAGAAACATAAGCTCTGAGAGGATTAAGAGCATCAGGTGATACACAAGTAGTCTTATTTGGATCAGTGGGGAGAGCCCATTTTGAAGCACCAGAGAGTGACGAATCTGCTGACGTATGAGATTGGAAAATTTTGGAAGGTAAAGAATGTCTGAGAATCTCAGGAAGTACATCAGGAGAAGCTTCTAATTCTTGATTTTTCGCAGCAGCTATAGAATTGGAAGGCTTGATCTTTTGGGCAAGACGGGTAACGGCGTGTTTGGATTCTTCAAAGAAAAATGCTCCTTCTTTTCCTGCTAATCTTCCTGCTAGGAAACTCATTTTTCAGCTGTTTGTGGAATTGGGTTTTGTTATGGATTTTGATTTCCTTAATCGGTACGGGAAATTTGAATCTATGACGGTTATATATAGATATTGAAATCATTTATTTTGTTGTAAGGATTCCTTCCTGAAAAATAGAAAAGAAATGCTAGGTTCGTCTAGGAGTAATTTTATGATAAATTGAATTTTCATTTTGTTTTGAAATCATTTCCATTTTCTTACACCTTGTTTGGATAGTTGTTATATATCATTTCATATTGTATCATATTATATTTATATTATATTGTATTGTATCGTTTGATATATATAATATTTGGATAAATTGTATCGTTTGTCGTTATTTTTTGATGTCACGTACCAGTAATATAAGGAATAAAGTTGTAGTATTACAAAGAAAAATTATGGTACGAGGTAAAATTATTATATAAAAAGATAAGGTAAACGATTATTTAATTATAATAAAGGTCAAAATTAGAGAAAAAAACAAAGTAACGACGCGACTACACCAAATCGATCGTTACATAAAGTGACATTTCTCGTTGTTACGTAACAACAAATTTAACGATACGATACAATAATAAAATTTAAATAATAATCAAATATAAATATTATATTTAAAGTAACAATAAGATAAAATATAATAGGTAACAACCATCCAAACAAGTTGTTAAAGGTCGATATTTTAAATCAACTTTCAGAATTAAATTGGATTAACTTAATTTTCTAAATCAAGTTTGGACAATATGTTCACGATACTCCTTTTCTTTTCTTATTATTGTACAAAGTTTTTTTTAAAAAAAACAAAAAATGCAACTTGACCGTCTCTAGCTAAGATGTGGCACACTCTCAGCCGATTATCTCATGTCCGGCTTTTATGTATATTCTAGATTTTTTCAAAATTGATTTCATGTAATACGTAACTTAATTATTCTAAAAAAAAACAAAAATTAAATTAAAGAAAATGCTACGTCAAATCACCATACTATTACAATATAATAGCTACTTTAACCTTCGTATTTCTATCACTTTCTCCATAGATAGATATATTATATAACAAGAAAATGATAAAAAAGGAAGGAAGAGATTTGACAAACAACATATTGAAATGAGCTTGTCAAACAAGATATTATAAAGAATGAGTGAAAAGAGAAGATGAATAAAATAATAACATTGTCAACATTTACAGGTAGCGTTTAGTGTGGTTTGCAAGTATAGACGCTTGTAACGGCAACTATTAACTTGAAGCCCAAGAAAATTTCTCAAACACAAAAACTACGGCTGTTTTTGGAGTTTGTGTGTATATCAAACTGAGACCATGTTTGGCCAAGGTTTGGGAGGTCAAAAGTAATTTTTTTGGTCAAAAAAGTAATTTTAAAAAAAATTAAGGTGTTTGGCCAAAATAAAAAAAGTACTTATGGGGATAAGCTACAAATTCTAGTGTTGGCCCAAGTGAAGTTTGTTTTGATGATTGACAAAGGAACTCAAGCATTAACCAGGTCCATACACAGTGAACACAGACACGGGCAGAATTCGAGCACAAGGCCTGCACGTGAAGGAGATAAGCTTAAGTTGTTATATCTGATATCTCCTGAACGAAAAGGTTGCAAAATTGATAAGGAGAAGGACTCCTTACTCGAAGAGAACACTATCCAAGATAAGGGAGGAGTTAGAAGTTGAAGATAACTAGAACTCTTCCACCAAGGAAGAGTATAGCATTGGAACTCTAGTTATTTCCTATTCTACTTACTCTATAAATTGCAGGATGTTCTCATTTTACAGGTACGCACAAACGCTGAAGTTAAACGTGAGTTGAGAGATAGCAAGGCATTTTGCAAGAAATTCTTGTGTGATTCAAGTGTGCGAACCTGAAGCTACATGAACCAGATAGAAGAACCGGTTCTAAGTGTCTGTCTTTTATTCTAGTTCAATTGTAGTAGGGCTTTTCAAATTGTACCTTTCAGCTTTATCTAGAAGCAATTGTATTAGGTACTCTAAGTATTGTATTCAAGTTAGAGTTAACTTGGAGTTGTCACAACAGTTAGAGGCTGGTTGCCACAACGGGAATAGAGGTAATCCTTAGGTTTACAAAGAGTTTTGTAAATGCTGTTTTGGCTCAGTGATGTACTGAAGTGTTGGGGAAAATCCTACTGAGCAGTAGGTCGTGGTTTTTTCACCTTTTGAGCCGAGTGTTTTCTACGTAAAAATACTTGTGTTCTTTACTTTCCGCATTTACTATTTCCGCAACAGTAGTATAAGGAATACATAGAAGAACCAGGTTCTTCTATAATCTGCGCACGCGAAAAATTGGATACCACACAAATCACCCCCATCTTATGTGGTATTGAAATATAAAACATCAATTGGTATTAGAGCAAGTTATCCTTGAAGAGGCTAATACCTTAGGAGCAGATCAAGATGAGTACACCACCTGAAAACTAGGAATGGCAATCCACTGCTAGGCCACCACTCTTTAATGGCCAGTACTACTCTTGGTGAAAAAACGGGATGAGAGATCACATTATAGGAGAGGACTATGAGCTATGGGATATTGTCACTGATGGTCCACTGGCGACCTTGAAGAAAAATGCTGATGGAGTAGATATGCCAAAGACAAGAGCGTGCACTGTTGAGGACTTGAAGAAATGGGAGAAGAATGCTAAAACTAAGAAATGGCTTGTTTGTGGACTTGGTATAGATGAGTACAGCAGAATCCAAAGATGTACCACTGCTAAGCAAATTTGGGACACATTGCAAGTGACTCATGAAGGTACACCTCAGGTGAAGATTTCCTCTGGTGTAGAGATCCAGAGGAACTCTACCGTATTCTCAGTATGAGAACTTTGCTATAAAGGAAGGAGAAACCATTAAAGAAATGTACACAAGGTTCACTACACTAACAAATAAGCTAAAATCTCTTGGAAGGATTATTCCTGAAGAAAATAGAGTCGAGAAGATACGACTAGGGTTTTGTCTATCACTTGGAGAGCAAAATCACTGTCATCCAGGAATCTAAGAATACTGCCACTCTCCCACTGGATGAATTAACGGTAAACCCAATATCTATGAACTTAGGAGACAAACCATGAAAATGGATGCAAATAAGAAGGAAAGAAGATGATGAAATGGCTATGATCACCAAGGACTTCAAGAAGTACCTGAGGAGAGGAAAGGGTTCTTTAAGAAGTGAAAGCTATAGCAAGTCAAAAGCTCCTGAGAAACAAACCAATGATGGCTGCTACAAGTGTGGAAAGACTGATCACCACATCAAGAACTGTCCTTTGTGGGAAATTGAATGGAAGAAGGAAAGAGCTTAACGAGGTAACAGGAAGAAGGAACAGGTTCAACCCAAGAAAAGCAACAACAAAGGATCAACCAAGGCTATGGTTGCTGCTTGGAGAGAAAGCTAAGATGATGATGAGGATGAATAAGAACTTATGGCCATTGGAGAATCTGATGAAGAAACTGAGGTAAGTGTCCTTCATCTCAAAGACAAGATTAAATTGTTGTCTACAGAAAGGTTATCCGAGTTACTACTAGAACTAATTGATGAATAAGAGGATGTAAACAACAAAAAGGAACAGTTGTCTAAAGAATGTGTGATTTTGAAGGCTAAGTGCAAAAACCTGGAACTTAGGGTTCAGTGAAACTATAAGTGAAAATACGATGTTGAAGAACCAGGTTCATGTACTTGACTCAACTGTCCTAGAGCTTAGATCTGAAAATCTAAAATTGAAACTAGGAACAGGAAAAAATACAGCTGATCACACACAACTCACCTTACAAGAAAATGTAGGAAAAATGAAGGATGAGTTGTACAAGAAAGATGAATAGGTAAGAATTCTAAAGGAGGATCTAGGCAAAGCCAAGCATGAGCTAGACAGAACTTGTAAATGGAACAGGTCCTCTGATGTATTTTCATGGCTATAAGAACACCATAGTAGCAAAGGAAGAGGACTTGGCTTTGGGAACCCGGCACCTAAGTGGGATCCCAAAAGCAAGTACCTCACACTTCCTGAGAACAAGATTTGCAAACACTGTGGTAAAACAGGTCACTATAAGAGTGAATGCACTGCAAAAGAAAAGGCAAGTCAAAAGAACAAAGAATTTGTTCAACGGAAGAATAGGCTACCAAGTTGGGGTAAAAAGAATTTGATTCATCCTTTTGCCTATAGAAAGGAACCCAAACTAGTTTGGGTTCCTAAGAAGAACCCCTGATTTTCTTTTGCAGGTCAAAGTGAAGGGGAGCAGCCAAATATGGGACATGGATAGTGGATGCTCAAAGCATATGACAGGAAGCAAGAACCAGTTCCTTTCACTTGAGGACCTTAAAGGAGGTAATGTCTCATTTGAAAATGGGAAGAAATGTGAGATCATTGAGGTTAGAAAGGTAGGTAAGACTGATTCTCACTCTATTGAGAACGTCTACTTGATAGATGGGCTGAAGTACAGTCTAATAAGTGTATCATAATTGTGTGATAGAGGTAACATGGTAGAATTCACCTCTGCAAAATGCTTTGTGATTAACCTTACCACTGACAAGATAGTTTTGCAGGAAAAAAGAGTGAACAACATATATATTGTGAATCTTTCCACACTTTCAGATAATGAACTCACTTGCTTAAGTGTGTTGGATAATGATCCCCTCCTTTGGCACAACAGACTTGGACATGCCAGTCTAATTCGACTCAACAAACTAGTCTTCAAGGACTTGGTGATAGGACTGCCTAACATTAAGTTCAAGGAAGATAAAGTTTGTGAGGCTTGTGCAAGGGGGAAGCAGGTAAGATCTTCTTTCAAAAGCAAGAAAATGGTAAGCACCACCAGGACGATGGAACTGGTTGATATGGATCTTTGTGGACTAATGAGAACATTGAGCAGAGGTGGTTAGAGATATGTTATGGTGCTTGTTGATGATTACTCTAGGTTTACTTGGACACTGTTTCTAACATATTTGACATGTTCACTTCTTTTGTTAGAAAAACTCAGAAAAACTAGGTAATCAACTTGCATCAATTAGGTCTGATCATGGTATTGAATTTGAAAATGCTAAATTTGCTGAATTTTGTGATGACCATGGCATAGATCATAATTTTTCTGCTCCAAGGACTCCACAACAAAATGGAGTGATTGAAAGAAAGAATAGGATATTGGAGGGAATGGCTAGGACTATGCTTC